GTTTCAATTATTTGCTTTTATTTCATTCTCTGCGTGGATTTATGTGAGATTTAGTTTAGATGTCCTTCAATTTATTCCGGGTGTGACCGTGTGAGTGTATACCCATTGAAAGTTGCAAAAGGAAATGCTATACTTTCATTCGGGCGTTTTGTTTTGACATCTTTTTTATGTGTTCACCCTGTTATAAGATATTATTTCTTTAATAAACTATTTTTTTAAGAGAATACAAATGTTTCTTGGTACATTACTACTCTCTGTTGATTTAGGAAAATGGGTTTAGTGCAAACAAATTGCATATTTAGTGTTTGATAAATTGCATGTATGAGCTGATATGTTGTATAACAGTATAAGAAGAGATGAGATTCATTGACACGAACTTTGTTAGAAATCTTTGCTTGCAATTTTACACTTGGCTTTGAAATGTTTGATATAATGCCTGTAAAAGTTGTTCCGCTTCATAAGAAGATAGGATTCATTGAGATGGGCTTTGTTTGAAATCCTTGTTTGCAATTTTACAATGGAGTTTGAGGATGGATGCTAAGCAGTAAGCAATGATTTGGTACTGTTTTATTCCTTCCACTAGCCAGTGGACTGGACAAATGGTTGGATAAGAATTGCTGATTTAAGCCTATAATTTTTCTTTGTATGTTCCTTTTTATAAGTAAATACTTTTCGTTTTTTCACAGAAAAATAAATCAATATTAACCGGTCACTTTAGTATATTATTTTTGCTTTTTCCCTGCTGCCTCATCTCTCTCCTGCAGATTGGCATGGGGGTCGGCCATCTCAGAGGTGAGTATATTTCTTAATGGGCCTGGGCATGCAATCTACTTGTATAGATAAATATGATTTTCCATTGTTGCATTTACTCTAATTTGTTGATCCTAGTTGATGAAGAGAAGATTATAATAGGATTCTCAGTGTTACTAAGAGATGTGATTATTGTTTTATCCAAGATCTTTTTCCTTTTCTGTGTCTTAGAGCTTGGGGCGAAGATTATTTTGTTTTATTTCTTTTTTTTCCCCTTAGGGTGGGGTGGGGTTCTGGAGGTGAGCACTGAGCAGAAATAGAGAAGCTCATATTCATTTGCTTTTTATAGATGCAATTTGAGGAATTCCGTTGTTTAGGCACCTCGGGGTGTGTCTTATCCATATTTGCTTTATCTTGCACATCTTTGTTTGTTAGTCGACATATTTTCTTTTATTTAAATATTGTTACACGTGTAAAAAAAATTTATATAGGGCCTCAAAATAATTTGTCGCTTAGGGCCTCCAAATTCTCAGGGCCGGCGCTGTTCACCTCACATAATCCATCGCCATCTCCATCTCCATCTCCATCTCCATCTCCATTTCCATTTCCATTTCCATTTCAATTCAACAAAATAAAAACAGCATCCTCCCATTTTCCATTTTCTTCACCATCACTGAACATCTCATTTTCATTTTCTTCACATATTCGCCGCCTCTGGCTGTCATCTTCAACGGTTTGGAGGCAACTTATTTTTTGCAATTCAATGGTTTTTTTTTTGAATTCGAGCTAAATTGACGAAAACCTATGTATATATGTTGTCCGTCATAATGAATAGGAGGTAATGGTGGTGGTGCGTGATCGAGATTCTCAACGTCGGCGCCGGAATTTGGGATGCACTGTGCGCGATTTGCTGCCTTGGAACCGGTAAGAGATGCAATTCATTATAAATCGATTCTTGATGATATGGGACCATGAAAATGATCATCTTGA